CAAAATCAATTCTTTCATCCTCTTCTCTGCCTTCTACACACATCTATATGGTCCCAACATCTAGCAACATGTGAAGGACTATTTTCAATGTACTCATCCTACATCCAATCCTCAGGAACTTAGCTGCCACCTGCAAAACCAGCTTCAAATCCATGCAGCTCTCCCAAGTTCATTATCTCTATTTTAATGCAAGCCATGATTCTTTTCTAACTAGGTGAGTTTCTTAATTGATTTTCCAACTTCTACTCCTAATCTCTCAGAGCAGCCAGAGAAATTAAAGGCACACATCACCTTTCCATTGATGTGGAATATTTGTTTACCTATGCAAAGATGTGTTGCATTTGTTTAACTATGTAAAGATATGTTGCATTTGTTGGTATTGCAGAATATTTGTTTAACTATGTAAAGATATGTTGCATTTGTTGGTATTGCAGAATATTTGTTTAACTATGTAAAGATGTGTTGCATTTGTTTTATTATGTAAAGATGTGTTTCTCTTTTACCTTGCCTGCCTACAGCACCTGATTGGTCTAATAAAAAGCTGAACTGCCATTAGTGAAGGAGGAGGTATAGGTGGGACTTCTGGGCAGGGAGAGTAAATAGGAGGAGGAATTTAGGCTCAGGGAGAAAGGGAAGAAAGAAAAGGAGTCCAGAGGGAGACGCCAGGGGCCAGCCAGATGGACACCGAGGAAGCAGGAAAGTAGGACATACAGAATGAAAGACAGGTAAAATTCCCCAAGGCAAAACATAGATAAATGTAAACAGGTCCTATTAAGTTAAAAGACCTAGTGGGACAAGCCTAAGCTAAGGTTGAACATTCATAATTAATAATGTCTCCATGTCTTTATTTGGGAGCTGGTTGGCAGCCCAAAGAAAATTTCAACTACATTCCATTCACAATCCTTTGACACCGAGGCTTCTCCACTAAAACTGAAACAGTTTGGTGTGGTTTTCAGGGCCTGGCTGACCCTGTCCATCCCTGTAAGAAAAATCTGTGTGGTGTTTGTCTCTTATACAAATTCTGAAATTGTTCTACTACCAAATATCATAAAAGAGCATCAATCACTTCTTCACCTACTCAGAGATAAAAACAATTAACATTCTGATAAATCTTTGTGCTCCTGCTTATATTTTGCATGACTGCATGCAACTACACATGCATAAACACATATACACATATTATTTTTCTATATTTTTAAAGCTAAGATCAAGCCCTGTAACTATGTTTCCTGCTTTTGTTTGCTAGGTGTGCCTATTTTTAAATTCACTGAAACACTCTGAAAAGTGACCTCAGTTTTCACATGCAGCCAATAGGACTCTGTTACTGACTTGTCTGCTATGATTGTTTTCTTGTTGGGGTCTTTATGTTTGTGTGTAACACCATGTACAACATTCACTTCTCCAAGAAAAAAAAAAATGGAACTTTCATGCACATCAGCCCTGTGCCAAAGAGTAGTCTGGAAACACAAAGACTGGAATAAGACCCACGAGTAACCCACTGGTACTTAGGAAGTAGGAGAGCTATGGTTATCAAGTTATATTGATGACAGGTTTTTGTGTTGTCCCACTGTAGAGCTATGCCTAGTGTAAGGGGTAGGAGACACACATTCCTCATGGCCCTGGGGACAAGTAGTATTTGTTTAAAATTATCTTCAGGGCTGGGGAGATAGTGAGGTGATGATATGCTTGTCTTGCAAGCATAAGGACCCGGTTTTGATCCCTAGAACCTATTTAAACAAACAAACAAAAACAGACTCTCTGTGGTGATGTACTTGTAATCCCAGTGCTCTGGAGAGAGGTCCTGACTCCCTCTGGCCTATAGGCTAGGATACTTGGTGATTTCCAAGTGACTGTCAGGCCAGTGAGAAACCTTGTCTCCAAAATTAAAAAAAAAAAAAAAAGAGAAGATTGGATGGTGCTTTAACAGTGACATCAAAGTGTTCCTCTGGATTCAGTGCATAATATACATATACATATACATGTACACGTACACGTACACACACGCACACGCATATACATATACACACATCATATACATATAATATACATATACATCCTATACATACACATACACATATACATATACATCATATACATATACATACACATGATATACATACACATATACATATTCATATTCATATACATACTCATACACATACACATATACATAGATATTCATATTCATATCCATATTCATATACATACACATAAACATACATATACATACACATGCTCTTGCACATGCATGGGCCAGAGCTATCACAGAATTTGGATATGTCAAGATCTTTGAACACAAGTTATACCACCAAGTGCCCCAAATGTGTCCCATGATGGACATCTTATTTGGGGATCTAATGTCTACCTGGCTAACTTTGCTATCCCTCAGCTCTCCTTTTGGGGATGGAATGCTTACCCTGGGCCACTGTACCTTGGACATCAGTAACATATTTTATAGATGGTCATGGGAAGAGTTCATGCTGAGTCTCAGAGGAGCCAATGGAGAAGGACTTTCAGGCAATCTGAGACTGCAAAGACTGTGAAGTCCTTGAAGAGGCCTAAGCATGTTGTGCGTTATGAGACACACAGGAGCCTGTGGGAGCCAGAGCAAGAAAGGGGTTTAGATCTTCAGTGACTTCTCCCTCATGTTTCGAAGACCTGGTCCCTAGTGCAGTATTGTGCAGAGGAAGGGGCCTACAGAGGTGACTGGGTCCTGGAGACTCCCATCTAGTGACTGGATGAATCCATTTATGGATTTGTGGCTTGAGAATTCTCCAGAAAGCAGCATTTGCACAAGAGCCAGCTACTCTTGGCTTACTGGCTGCTGTGAGGGGAATGGCCTTGCCCCAACAATTGTTCCCAGCATGCCACAGGAAGCAACCACATGTGGTCTGAAGCCCCAAATAGCTCAATAGATCACACTCTGTTCTAAGTGGACAGACTCAGGCATGTGTCTCAGGGATGCAAACTGACTAGTTTTCTTATTCCCACCCTGTCCCCTCTGTGTACAGGAGGAACTTCTCTGGGACATGGGTCCCATGAAGACATCAGTCTCTTCAGTTGCCCATGGTCATGAAGAGCCTGAGCAAGGTGAAGTAGAGCTGAGGTTTCCACACTGAACTTGATCAGTGGGTCTCCCTATGGCAGTAACCCAGGCAGAGTGAGCAGTCTTTATTCTCTGATTGGCAGAAGAATAAAGCCAATGGGCAGTGTTAATGTCACGTTTGTTAGGTAGATTCCTGTGACACCATGCACTGGTGTTAGGGGATACATCCTGTCCCATGGGACATCTATACCCCTCTCTTTTCACCTCCTCCTCTCACTCACAACATCTGACAAACTGACTGGGAACTCTTGGGTACCAGGGTGGCTGAAGGAGCCATACCTGTGTCAAGTCTCATAGGGACTGTCTTGGCACACCCAAGATCTAAAAATAAAAATACAGCATGATATCACAGGAACCACGACCACCTTGCATGATGCAGGTAAGGAATCCAGCAACATAGACATCCATCCAATGTCACAGACCAGGTAGTATGACATGCTTATGCCATGCTCAGGCGGATTCTTTCCAGTTCTTTAAATTACTTTGTATTTTCTGAGATTGAAATAGAATTACATCATTTCCCCCTTCCCTTTCCTCCCTGCACACCCTACCACACACTACTTTCTTGCTCTCTTTCAAATACGCGTCCTCTCTTCCTTGGTTGTTACAGAGATAGTGAGCTAGAACTATGTTCCTGCCTCTTCTGATTCCCAACACAGCATTGTCCACAGAACATCATCAGTCTCCCACGTGTATCTCTGCAGAAGTGGGGATACCTGGCAGCATCCAGAGTTCCCATTGGCCACTCTTGAAATTGCTAACAGTGTCCATCATGTGTGAAGTCCATGAAGGATTTGCATTCCCTCCCTCTGAGCAGCTTAGATCCCGGTCCCTCCAGAGGCTGTTAATGACTTGACACTGTTAGGGGAACTTTAATAACTCTTCAAAGTCCCTTGTCCTCAGGATATTGGCTAATTCTCAGCATAACTCTAACTGCCCACCACTAAAATAGCGGCTACACACCTTGATACTGTACAAGGGAAACGCAAAAAAGATCCCATGGGGATTTATGAACATCAATTTTATTCAGATTCTGTGAAGAACTCAGGAGACACTCTGCTCCACTGTGTTTCCCTCTTATCTCCTGGCACTGTGAAGCCCACAGGAGGCCTGGATGAGGAGTTCCAGAGACAGCAGTTAGGTGTGACCTAGGCAGGTACAACAGCTTCTATGTCCCAGAAGCTTCAGGCAGACTTCTAATATCTACCCATAAAAGAGATACTTGGAAAGGCCAATGTCATCGACTGGAGTCCCAGAAGATGGAATCCTCTGACTGGCATCTGCTCTGACAGCCATTCTCGCTGACTCAGGTCTCTGTCGACAGGAGGACCTGCTGAACCAGGGACCTGATGGCTTGTGGTGCCCTCTAGCTGGACTCAAAGATAACTGGAGTTCCCTCTAACTGGTAGTCTCACTGAGTGTAGGAACCACTCACTGGACCCCACAAACTGGAAATCCTGCTGACTAGGACTCAAGCTCACTGGAGTCACAGGAGTCCCTGCTGAATGGAATTGCATCCCTATTGTCTGGAGTTCCCACTGACTGGCATCCTTCTTAGCTGGTATACTCACTGACTGGCATCCCTATTGTTTAGAGTTCTGATTGACTGGCCTCCCTATTGGCAGTTCCCACTGACTGGCATCCCTATTGGCTGGAGCTCCCACTGACTGGCATCCCTATTGGCTGGAGCTCCCACTGACTGGCATCCCTATTGGCTGGAGCTCCCACTGACTGGCATCCCCATTGGCTGGAGCTCCCACTGACTGGCATCTTTGCTGACGAGAGTCCCTGCTAACTGAGGTGCTACTGGCTGGACTCCCTGCTGGCTGTGACACAGTCAGTCCTACTCATCTCAGCTGGCTGCCTTACCTCAAAGAATGGCATGGACAGACAGTGAAGGGAGACAAAAAGAGGGAGAGTTTTATTTCCAACATAGGAGCAACCATTCAGACATACACACACACACAAAAGAAATACAACCCAGAAAGTAGGAACTCTAATACTCTCAGTGGCAGCAGGATGCCATTCAAGAGAGACTGGGAGAGTTACAGCTGTCATCGTTCAGAGGCCCCCAAAAACCAGTGAAGAGCAGTCCTCTGTGGAGAGCAGTTCCCAGAAGCAGCAGGTCCCAGAGGGCAGAACTGAAGGTAACCCCCTCCACAGGAGCTAGCCCCTCGGTTGTAGCTGCAGGTTGAGTTTTAGTGGAAGGAGCAGGAATGTGCTCCCAGCCCGAGCTGGAGCATCAAGTCCGGGGTGGTCCATTTCTGGAAAGTCTTGAGGGCAGCACCAGCCTCCCTCCTTTTTCTTTTCTGACAAGCAGGGCAGTGTGTCTGATTGTGAACTCCCCAGTCTTCCTCTGATGTCAGGTCACCCGGATACTAGGACACCAGGCAGAAACAGGAGCCAATGAGAGGCAGACTGGGAAAAGATAGACTTCCATGCTGCTTGGCTGGGCTTCTGCCTGTGCTGAGATGGAGAGGCCAGTCAGAAGAAAGCCTGTCAAATCCAGAGAAGAGCGGGTCAAAGGCTGCTAGAACTGGGGTGGTGGGGAGGTTTCCAGCAGAGCTGCTGTCTGTCCCCTCTGTCCCTTCTATGTGGAAGAGGAAGCTGGGCAGGAGGGATGGGGGACGGTGTCCCCAGACTGCAGCTGAGGATTTGCCTGTATCCTGGTCTGGCAGCCAGGAGGATTGTTCCTTTTGTTCTAGTTGATGCTGTTTATTTCCAGCTGTTTATTTTTCATTAATGGCCCTTCTCTCATCAACTGGAATTCCCCGAGAGACTCCCAGATGGCAGGAGTACTCCCATGTAGAAATCTCCACTATGTGTTACCTCCCTCCTAGACAAAGGAACATTCGAGACCAGGAATGATGAGCGCACATAGCAGGCAGGATTTCCCACACCCCTTCTCTTGCAGCTGTGTGTGTCCATGTACGGAGAACAACACAATGACTACAGAATTGTGGAGCTCAGTGTCCTGTGTCTGGCCACTTTAAATGCAAGGAGGCCCAAGACGGGGACTCTTAATGACTGTGAACACCCTGCAATGCGCTGCTCTCCAAGCTGGTTCCTCCTGTCTGAAAGTTAGTTCTTTGTCACATCTCTCTTTCTCCCACTATGAAATCCATCACTATCATACCCAGGGCCTCAGTCTCAGCCCCACCTTCCTCCATTCTCCATTCTGTGATAAACATCATTCTATGCTTTAATTCTAGTTCAACTTTTTGGATCTTCACAAGAAAGATGGTTTTGTACACCCTGCATAATGGTCTACAATCACTGTGCTTTGGGTTTGGAATGAGGATTTCAAATCTAAGTCAAGGCTTGAAATGACATTATAGAAGAGTAGATAGAAAAGATTGGAGGTTGACAAACATCAACCCGAGATGCTTGGGGTATCCCAGTTGAGAGAATAATCAAAATGTGACAGGTTCTAATTAGGATCAAATCAGGGGGCACACAAGCATCAGGTTAATGTCATAAGGGGACAACCTTTAAGGCTGCCACCTTGGGTTCCAATTCAGCTTTCACTTGAATGAGCTTCCCTGGTGAAAATCCTGGCTTCTCCTTCCCAGTGCAGGCGTGTTTACATCATGGGGCAAATGACAGTCAAATCTGTTGGCAATGGCAACGGACCTGCTAGCTGTTCTCAGAAACAGTATTTTTACTCTTGGGCTGTTTTGCTCTTATTTTTCCCTTTGTCTGGGAGGGACCAGCCCATGCTCAAACAGGGCTTTTTTTAAGACACTTTGAAACAAATATGAAACAATATGAAACTTCATTCTGAAGTTTAAGGGACTATACTTCAGGCTGTGCCACTTAGGGTTTTGATAACTTGACGTAAGCAAGGGTCATCTAGAAAGAGGGAGACTCTGCTGAGGATACTCCTCCAACAGAGCCTGTAGGGAAGTCTGGGGGTGCATTTTGTTGATTAATGATGGATTTAGAGGGCACAGCCACTGTGGACAGGTTGTCCTGGGGGTATAAGGCAGAAAGCAGAACATGATCATGGGGATCAAGCCAGAAGAACACATTCTTCCATGGTCTCTGCTTCAATTTCTGCCCATAGGTTCCTTCTCTGAGTTCCCACCTTGGGTTCCTGTAATGGTGGACTGTGACTGGGACATGAAAGCCAAATAAACCCTGTGCCCCGACAACATTACCTTTGGTCAGTGTTTCATCACAGCAACAGAAAGCAAATTGAGACAGAAAATCGCACCATGATTGTGGGATTTTGCTGTGATAGAGCTGACCATGCTGGCATGGGGAGGATTGCGGAAGTGTTTGGAACCCTGCACTGAGCCTCTGTTCTCAAAGCTTAATGGGCTGTCTTGTGGGGGATGGCAGAGAAGGATGAGAGAAATGCATAGAATGGAGGCCTGGATGGTGATGTTTGAGAGAGAAGCAGATGCTATCAGAGCCATTTAGTCTACATTTTGAACTAATAACCTATGGTTTCTCGTCAGCAGAGGCTGAAGAATCAGCTTTGATTAACAAGAGATCAGAACCATTAAGGAGAAACCTTGCTGAGTTGGGACAATTGATGCAACTTAGCTTTGGCTGAGACATCAGTGATGACTAAGAAGACACAGGCATCATGGAGCCAAGATCTCCTGGAAAGCATTTCCTCAGGGTCACCACACAGAAGCTGTGGTCCAGGGCTGGCAAGGGCTGCATCTCATGCTGGCAGCCAGAGCGGATCACGTGTCAGAATTTCCCATGTGGTCCTGGTGTTGGGTGCATGAAAGCTGAGGGGTCAAAGGGCCGTGGGGAACAGCTGAGGCTCGGCACTGCGAGAGGCCAGGAGATGCCGTTGTTGAAGATGTAGCCTCCTTGCAGAGCAGACCCCAGCATGGTGGAGCCGCCAGGACTGTGGGATGACACCAGGAAGAGTGACAGGTGTGGCTTTAATCAGGCTGACCTGATAAGACAGGACATATGTGCTGCAGACACCACATCACAGGAACACAGATGAGTGGAGCCCAGAGCCTGAGTCCTGGGCTTGGGATACTGAACCACAGCATCTGATTTACATGGGACATTCATTTTGATTTGATTGTGACTGAGTCCTGGTTCTTCCCTCTTGGAGTAAGAAAGAATTTTAGTTGTTTTTGATGTTAGGGGAGCCCACATCACACAGTATCTAGATGTCTTTCTGTACTCTGTGAATATATGTTGTTCCCATTGGTTAATAAATAAGCTGCTTTGGCCTATGGCAAGGCAGCTTAGAGGCAGGTGGGAAACCATGGTGAGAGATAGGAAAGGGAAAGGAGGAGTCTGGAGAGATGCCAGCCTGCAGCCCAAGGAACAAAATGCCAGTAGACTGGTAAGCCACAGAACATGTGGCAAAACATAGATTAATAGAAATGGGTTAATTTAATATATAAGGGCTAGCTAGCAAGAGACCTGCCATAGACCATAGAGTTTGTAAATAATATTAAGCCTCTGAGTGATTATTTTATAAGCGGCTGCAGGACCACAGAGAAGGGGTGGTGGGTAGCCAGGACCAGAGAAACCTTCTGGCTATATTTGGCACTCACTGTTTGGCATTGAGCCATATAGACCTAAGAAAACTTAAAGATTCTGAACACACAGAAATGGAGTCACATTGGGCTTCCTAGTCTCACAGATTCATGCCAGCAGCAGCACAGACTCATCTCCTGACAGCTGCCTGAAAGGTGGAGCTGGCCGCCAGCCACCATGAGCTAAATGGCATGGTGGATTCCCGTCGCAGTACACAGTGGCATCTCCAAGCACCATGCAGCATGGTGTGTGGTGGATATAGCTTTTGCTAGTACAGACCAAAAAAAAAAAAAATGGTTTCTGGGCTGCATGCTGCTTTGATGGAGGCATAGACCCACTGCTTCCGAGAGTTGTTAATGCACATGGCTCCCGGAGCTGGCAGTAAACATACCACCACCATACTGGGAAGCTGAGAAGGGCAAAATCAGAAGCCAGTGCTACAGCTTTTCATTCTAGCCACACAGCTTAACAGTTTAACATCTCTCCTGGTTAGAGAAGGATTATACATTTATAACAAGACAGATTCAGATGGAATAAAACTCTAAACGGTTAACATTTTGTGCAGAAATGTATGTAGGCTTGGAAGAGAGGGGAAAAGGAGTATATGCAATTATATAAAGAAATAAAAGTTTTATAAAATAAAGTCTTTAAAGAGACAATAAGAAAAATATAAAAGTTAAGTCATGTAAAGATGGAAATCACACAGAGAGTCTGGATTATATTGTCTTTGGGATTTCTAACTGCAGAAAGACATTTGATTGTAAAGGTTGTTGAGTTAAACCAATATATATATATTAAAGGTATCTTGACTTCAAAATTTATGTCCAAGCATACATTGCTTTGGAAAAGAGGTTCTGCTTTTCTTTCCACAGAAGATGAGAAGCTGTGGGTTTCTTCCAGGTTAATATGGTTTGACCAGCCAAGACCCTCTGAGAGGTCTCCAGATGATCCAACATCCAGAACAGTTTCAAGGTAACTGGCTCAGAGAATACAGCCTCACACACTACTCCAGTCAGGACTTGACCATAATCCTAAAATTATCTTTGTGTCCCCGTAAGACTAACTGTGCTCCCAACCAGCAGGAAGTAGTATGAGAAGCTATGCCCAAATTCCCAAAATATTGTTTATAAATGTTTATTTTTATTTTATTTTTCTTTATTTTATTTAAAGGAGGTTGACTAAAAATGCAATCTCTTTCTAAAGAAGAAAAGGGGATATAGATATGATAGGATAGCAGTGTAGATTATTGAATCTACTATTAAAGAGCAACAACTTGCTTAAAATGTTTTACATTGCTATGGATTTTGGTTTACTGATACAAATTTAAAATTAATTTTGTTATACTATATATATTTCTATTCTTATTTTAGGAATTATGTTTATGCAATTCATTTAAAATTGTAAAATATAATTAAGAAATACAGATTAATAATTAGTCATCTATGATAATCAAATTTATAGTCATGTTAGTTAAGTTTTCTAGGTATACATAGATACATTTCAATTAGGTATGTAATCTTCAAACACTTCAAAGACTTAGAGAATGTGACATTTAAGCTGTTTTAAAAAACTTAGACTTTCTGGACAGTGAGACAAGTCTGCTCCTGGCAGCATCAGTTTACTTCAAAGAAGATGATGGCCATTGAAGAAACCCCATGTGGAGTTTGCTTTCCTTATGGCAAAAGCTAGCCATTTGGGCAAGAAACTATCCTTGCCTATAGTGTTTGACAAAAGATTGTATCAACTGGACATGGAGGACCCATGGGAAAATGACTACTGATTTCTGCCAAAACAAGGCAAGATGGTCTTTCAGATTCCTGCATTGCAGAGGAGACTACCAGACATTCTGCAGGATACAGAGAGAAGCAACTGAAAAAGCTCTAAATCTATAGGGTGAAGACAGATGCCCCAATATTGCAGAGGAACTTTGGGTGACTGTCCAGGGAGCCAGTTGTCTCTGTCATTCTAGTTTTTTTAGAAGTTGTTTACAATGCACTTCCTGTTTACTTAGGTAATATTATACCATTCTGGGGTCTTTGATGTAGTTGAAGACTAGATAGTTATAATTATAATTTTCCTTAGTTATGATAAAAGATAAATTAGATATAAAACTTTAGACTCACAAATATAGGCTAGATAGAATATTTTCTTTAATTTTGCCAAACACAAATAGACTAGATATTATAACTGTAATTCTTGCTTGATGATTGTTATATATAATTTTGCTATATTAAAGCCAAAACCTTCCTTTTTGTTTAGATAGAAAAGGGGAAATGTTGGGGGATGTCTTTCTGTACTCTGAGAATATATGTTGTTCCCATTGGTTAATAAATAAGCTGCTTTGGTCTATGGCAGGGCAGCTTAGAGGCAGGTGGGAAATCCAAGGAGAGAGACAGGAAAAAGAAAGGTGGAGTCTTGAGCGACACCAGCTTGCTGTCCAAGGAACAGCATGCCAGCAGACCAGTAAGCCACAGAACACATGGCAAAACATAGATTAATAGAATGGGTTAATTTAAGAGATAAGAGCTAGCTAGCAAGAGGCCTGCCATAGGCCATACAGTTTGTAAACAATATTAAGCTTCCGGGTGATGATGAGTGGCTGTGGGACTGCGGGGCTGGCCAGGACCAGAGAGAACATCTGGATACATAGACCTCCCAACCCATTGCACACCAAGAAACTAAAAATGGTTGTCTCTACACAAGGCCATGAGCAAAAGCATAGATTAAAGCAAAATGTACCTGGACTATGCCTCACACTTCTTGTCATCACAGTGTCCCCTCACTTTGGGGGGTACACTTTCCTTGGACACCTTTTGTGGGATGACATGCAGCAGCATAGTCTGAGGATGCATGCCAGAATCCTCTTCTTCCATCCTGCCCAGCCTCTGAGCTGCAGGGAGCTTGAGATTGAAGTTCTGCTCTGTTCCAGGCCACTTGAGGCCTTTTCTGACCGGGAGCTACTGGAGAAGCTGGTGTCTTCCACATCAATCACAATGTCTCTTGGTAAGTAAATACACGGCGCAGTCATAGAGCGCTTGTGACCTCTGCCCAGATTGGGTGTCTTCTCGGGCAGGTCAGGGTCATCCATCTCCTTCCTTTGACTCTGATCAGGGTTTTCTGTGGGTGAGACTAATATCCGAAGAGAAGGTTCACTGGCCCTTCTCTTGAGGGGCAGGGAAAACATGTCAGGGTCTTCAACAGAAGGGAAAGGTGTTGCCCCTGGGTTCATTACCTTTGTGTGGACATTACTGTCACAGTCCTGGCATGCCTGACCTCTCAGTAGGTAGTATACAGCCATGGTTTCATTGAACTTCCTGTGTTTTAAAGATTGTCTTATATCCTGGGTGTCAAACCCAATGTTTTGCATGGCTGCCATAATCTCAAGGTCTAGGCAGCTGGTGTCTCCATTGCAATGAATTGTAAACGTCTTTTCCCCTTTCTGAAGCCATGGGTGGCCCATGAGGTCCCGCACAGTTGGCCTCTGCCTCGAATTCACGGTTAGTAATAGGCTGATCATGCTCCTTAAGTCTTTGGAAAGCTGATAGGGGATGTCATACCTCCCGTACAGAACTTGTTCCCTGAGTTCTGACAAGGTGGCCCCTGCAAATGGGACAATCCCTGTCACCATATAATATAAGAGGACCCCCAAGGTCCAGACGTCTACTTTGGGGCCATCATAAGGGAAGCCCAGGAAGACTTCGGGAGGAATGAACTGGAAGGTGCCACATGGCTTTTCCAGCTTTTGCCCAGGCCTGAATCTGACACCTAGGCCAAAGTCAATAATTTTCACCTTCCCATGCTCATCCACTATGACATTGTCAGGCTTTAGGTCTCTATGAGCAACACCTTCATCATGGCAGTAGCCTATGGCACTAAACAGCTGAACTAATATGCTTCTAGCCTCATCTTCCTTCAGGCATCCAGATTTTTGGATACGATTAAATAGCTGTTCTCCCTCAGCCACTTCCATAATTAAGTAAATGTTCCACTCTGTCTCTATCACCTGCAGGAGGGAAACAATGTTAGGATGTCTGAGCATCCTCATGATGTCGACCTCAGACGCTGGCGGCTCACTCCGCTTCTCCTGCTTCATCAGAGCCTTCACCGCGACTGTGGCGCCTGTGAGACGGTGCAGGGCCAGCATGACCTTCGCACTGCCACCCTGGCCTAAGGCCTTCAGGATGGTGTACTGCTTGGTGAACACCTCTTCCCCAAAGATGCTGGGCACGGTGCTGGGCTCTGAGGACTCCTCCTCCGTATCACTGGACATGGTTGGTAGTGATGCTGCATCCAAGAGAAGGGGAGGGGAGGGAGACAGGAGATATAAGGGACTGTACAGAGACATTTGCAATGGAAGTCCCAAAATCCTGGGCAAGAAAGTCAAAACAAAGAACAAAGTGTAAACCCCACCAACAAGTAGCTTTCAATTCTGGCACCAATGACACACACAGACAAAACCCCAACTTGACACCCAAACCAAGACCTAACTTACCATCCACTAAAGTGGAAGGATCCCAGCTCAGGAATCTTTTGGATGCTGCTTGAAAAACTTCACCAGGAACTGGGGGATAGGGGAAGAAATGCATGGAACAAGAATGAGTGAGTAAATAAATACACAAAAGAAAACAAAATTTTAAAACCAATAGCCAAAACCAGACCAGGTACGCACAATACCAATCAAAGAAACCCAAGAAAAGTCAAGACGCCTGAAGAAATCAAAACAGAAACAGAAGCACCCAAAAGTCCATGAAGTACATGGAGGCAGACAGGCAAAATAAAAAGCACACCAAACAAGAATCAGAGAATCAAAACCAACCACAAGCCAAATAGGTATAAACTCCAAAGACCAAGAACACTACTAATGATCAATACTATTTTTAAAGTTTTAAATATTTAAAAAATTTAAAAAGTAAAAGATTAAAGAATGTTAAAATTAAAAAAGAAAATAAAAATTAAAAATGTATAACAAAAATTCACGTCAGAAAACAAGCAAAAAAAAAAAAAAAAAAAAGCCCCAAACACAACCATTAAACACCCAAGGAAAATAAGAATGTAAGCAGAAAAATAAATAGAACTAAAAACAGAAAACCAAGTGTCCAGGAGCTCGAGAGAGGCCTCATTCAGTAAAGAATTTCCCTTGCAAGCATGAGGTCCTGAGTTAGATGTAAAGGATCACTCCCCACCACAACAATGAGAACAAAGAATCACCCACACAAAACAGGCCTGGTGTCACCAGCTTTCACCTCAGCACACAGGTGACAGAGGCAGATCCCAGAGGCTCCTGGGCCAACCAGCCTAGCTTAAGTGGAGAAACACAGGCCGGGAAATGACTGCTATGGAAGTTAAGGCTGTCACCCTACCTTTAGGGAGTCACTGACGGTGGAGCTCTGGCCTTCCCCAGTGCCTGTACAAGGCCAACAGATGAACTCACACACACTCACACATACACAAGGATGTATCTACACACAGCACACAGTCACACACACCTACACACAGTCACACAGACACACACGCTGCACACAAACCACACAACCTCACTAGAGATCAGTAAATCACACAGGCTAAAACTCCACCCCGCCTCCTAGACCCACAGAAACCAGGCCAGGCCACACCATTATATCCGCTGGGTGGACTCTCACAATGGCTCCTCGTGAGGTCACAGTAAGTAGGACATGTGTAGGTCATGTGTAGGTCATGTGTAGGTCATGGCTGTGCAAATCTCACAGATACTGAAAGGACTCTGCAGAGGATCATTAGGCTTTCAGAGATTGAAGCTGGGCACCATGGCTGGAGGACCCCCTCCCCCACACTGCTATCAGAACTGCTAAATACCCCACCGCCCCCACACTCAAGGGCCACATGCAGATTCCCAGCAGTGTAGAGGAGCCAGGCATGGGATGGTGTCCTGGTGCCATTCCTGATATGTTGATAAAATATCCTGATAAAAAAGCGACATGGCAGAGAAGCTAGTTTATTTCGGTGTACAGTTCCTGGTTATAGTCCATCGTTATGGGGAAATCAAGGCAGGAACCTCAAAGGATTAGTCCCATGGCATCTACAGTCAAGAGCAGAGAGAAATAAAAGCTTACATGCTAGCTGGATTTCTTCTGCTGAGTTCGATGTCTACTCTCCCAGTCACTGATTGTGGTGTGTGTGTGTGTGTGTGTGTGTGTGTGTGTGTGTGTGTGTGTGAAGTATGGGGATGTCCAGCAAATCTGATATGTAGCAGTCAGTCTAGGGAGAGCAGCAAGACTGGATGTCTCACAGTAAGGGAGATGTTGTGTATCGCTTGGGCTGATGCTTAGCCCTGCATGGTGTGTATTTGTGGGGGATGGGGTCCTCATGGTCTTCTATCCAGCACTGTATATGAAGGACACAGTATTTGATACCCGGTAGTACTTGTGGGCAGGGACCCAGGATTACTGTCTGTTTGAACCTGACCCTAGAAATTTTTCTTGGAAAGTAGGAATGATCATCATGGCGTGTAAACTTGCATCATAGACTGGAAAGCTATAGGAGTGGAGCGTGAGTCTAACAGTGCCTGATGCTGGTACTTTATGAGGGGAAGGAGAGGGTTCCTAAATGGGCTGGCACCTAGCAGTTTAGGTGGGGCATGGGTGCTATCCTACAAGGCCTGATACCTCATCATGTGTGAGGCAATGCAGGGGGCTGGTGAGCAGTCACTAATGCTGGCACTGTATGAGGGACATGGACGGTGTGGCAGGGGGGAGTCTAACCATACCTGAAATCTAGTAGTGCATGGGAGGTCAGGAGGGAGCAGAGGGAACAAATAATCAGTAATATGTCTGGCCGAGTGGCAGGGCTGTGTTCATCAGGGCACGTTCTGAAAGTGTATTTGGAGCTGTGTGGGTCAGTGGTCCACAATAGCCTGATACATAGCAATAAGTGTATGGGGATATGATTAGCAGGGTGTGATTAATACCACTGTTTGTTTGGGGCATTGTAGGTAGGATGTAGCCAGCACTGCTGGGTACCTATCACAAAATGTGGGCTGGGAGGGGTCCCAGGGGACCTGATTTGTAGCAGTGTATGCAGAGCTGCAGGGGTTGTTGGGCAAGGCCTGATGCCATGTGGGCTCTGGCTGTGGGGAAGCTGGCCAGCTCATGTAGCACGTCTGTGTAGTGTGTGATGTCCAGCAGTGTATGTGGGGCAGTGGATCAGAGAGAGAGAGCGTCATCCAGCAGGGCCTAATGAAAACAGGATGTGTTGGGTGTTGCTGGAGGTGTTAGTATATTCTGTGGCCTAATACTTGCATCTTGTGTGGGATAGAGGGCAGTGGCCAACTGGTACCCAATACATAGTACTTTTTGTGCACTTGCAATTGGAGTGGTGTGTGTGTGCGCGTGTGTGTGTGTGTGTGTGTGTGTGCGCGCGCGCGCACACGCGCGTGCGCGTGCGTGCGCGAGCACATACATGCATGCATACCCAGAAGGGCTTGATAAAAAGCAGAGGCATGTTAGGTGATAACCTTTGGCGGTTGTCTTGCAGGGCCCTATATCTAATACGTCCTGTGCGATCACATAGCAGTATTTAACTGAACCTGAAACAGTGCAATGTGTATTTCACAAGTTTCATGAGAATTAGGTCTTCAGCAGCACCTGATTCCTAGCAGTGCAAGTGATACGCTGTGTGATAAGGTGTCTAGCCGGGCCTGATGTGTAGACGTTTATATGGGGTCATGTAAGAGGACATCCAGTAGAGCATGAAAACTATCAGAGTATATGGGGCAACAAAAGGAGAGGTCATGTCTAGCACATGTAAACTTCTAGGAAGCAGAACCCATCCAACGTCCTCCCCTGAAGCCACCCGTGAATAGTATTCCCAAACCTCCCCAATGCACTGCCCCCAGAGAGCCCACACATAAACTTAATAGGCAGAAATCCCTGCTGGTTGCTCCAGTATACACTACTAGATGTCAATCCCTGGCCCTCCTTTTCACCCCTCATATACTTGGGGTCTCGCTAGGTAACTCAGCCCTACTATGATGGATCAGTTCCTGCCTGCTGTCTCCACCCTATGTATTGTTCTATGGCTCAGGCCTTGGTGGACACATCCCCCTCACCACCACTGTCCATAAACATACAGTTATATTTCAAGACAGGCACAAAATCCCCAGCACGCCACCCCATGCACTGCTGTGTATCATATCTTACTAAATACCCTTTCACCCCCACCACCCCCCTAGATACACTGCTGAGGGTCAGGCCACAATGGACAACATGCTATCAGTCCATTTACACCCCTACGAATCAGCCCATTGGGAGGCAAATGTCACCATGCTCCCCTCACCATTGATGTCTATCCCTGCTGGACCTCTTGCCTTTCTCCCGTCAAGTGGTAGGACGGACCTAGGCCATTTTAGATTCCCCACCCTCTGTCATCCCACAAAGACATCTAATTTTCAGGCCATGCTGGGCCCCCTTCTGCTTTGTCCCATGAAACGTCTAGGTATCTGGTCCGGATGGAGATAAATCCCTTCGTTAGCTGTGTCCTGTTAAAATGTCTCCAGAGAGGAATGCCAGCCAGACCCTTGGTTGTTAGCCACAGCCCTGAACAGCATGATTGCCTGTGGGGCAACTATGATATGGGCATCTTTTTATGTTTGGACTAGTTGATTGTGTTAACTCTCCATATATGTTACTGACTGAGAGGCTGTCTATTCAAGAAAGTGGGGCACACTTCAGAATTGCCCATATCCATCGTATCCTCTCTAAATGTGTGGACGCCTCCTCTGCTCATAAGAGCCTTCTCTGGCTTCACGGCTTTCCTTTGTTATGGCCCCTGTGTCCCTTAATGGTGTGAGGTATGGTGACCCTGGACGACAGGCTGTCCTTGAGCTACGTCAGGTTCTCACTAGAAAGTGGAGATTCATAGGTCAGATGTTAGCTGGCATCTTTACAGTAATCACTGCTATGGCTTCTGCAGCGGCTTCTGTAATGGGCATTACTGAACAAGTACAAGCTGCTCATTTTGTTAATCAGCTTGCTTAAGTATAATATCTCTGTGGCTTTGGCCACTCAAAAATGTATAGATAAGAAAACGAAAAGGTAAGTGAAATGCTTTAATGCTTTAGAAGTTGTGATGTTGTACCTAGGAGATAACACTATAAGCAACCGTCGGTTAACTTTGCAAGGTCATGCTGGTGTTGGATATGTCTACATCACTCCTGTAAGCTATAATCAATCTAAATGGAAATGTGATAAAGTTAAAAATCATTTACAGTGGATATGGAATCATGAGAATGTTAGTTTAGATTTATTAACCCTTGAGTAATTAGTTACTGACCTGGGCTGTGCTCATCTCATATTTAACTCTCCTTTTTCTGAGCTGGCCAAAAATTTATTTACAAGCTTCAGGGACTTAGCCCCTTTAACATCCTTCAACATTTATTCAGTATTGTACACGGTAGTGTTGTACCACTTGTACGATTCTCTTGATATTAGGAGGCCTGTGGTTTTAGGAATTTCAGGATCCCCTAGACATTCAGACACGAATAACTCATCTGGCCTTAAAAAACAAAAAAGGAACCTGTTGAGAGCC